CGCAAGCCAGGCGGCTGAAAATGTGAATAGTGTTTATGGTCCTGATACTGTAACAGCCAATCACGCGCAATTTTGGTTTCGTCGATTCTGTTCCGGTAATTTCGATGTCAAAGATGCACCATGCACTGGAAGGCCAATTGTCGAAAATATCGATAAAATCATGGACATTGTCGAATCCGACCGTCATGTAAGCACTGTTTCGATTGCCCAAGAGCTAAAGATTGCACAAAAACCGTTTGGAATCATTTGAATAAGGCTGGATACAAAAAGAAGCTCGATGTATGGGTGCCACAAGAGTTAACGAAAAAAAACCTCATGGACCGAATTTCCATCTGCGAATCGCTGCTGAATCGCAACAAAATCGACCCATTTCTGAAGCGGTTGGTCACTGGTGATGAAAAGTGGATCACTTACGACAACGTCAAGCGAAAACGATCGTGGTCGAATCGCGGTGAGCCGGCGGAAACGGTGGCCAAGCCAGGATTGACGGCCAGGAAGATTTTGCTGTGTGTTTGGTGGGATTGGCAGGGAATTATGTACTATGAGCTGCTCCCCTATGGCAAAACTCTTAACTCGGAACTGTACTATCAACAATTGGACCGTCTGAAGGAAGCAATCGCCCAGAAGCGGCCAGCTTTGGCCAATACGAAAGGAATTGTGTTCCATCAGGACAACGCCAGGCCACACACATCGATAGTGACTCGCCAGAAGCTCCGGGAGCTTGGTTGGGAGGTTTTTATGCATCCACCTTATAGTCCGGACCTGGCACCAAGTGATTACCATCTGTTCCTGTCCATGGCGAACAATTATGCTGGTAAAAAATTCGCTTCAAGAGAAGCTTGTGAAAATCGACTGTCTCAATTTTTTGCCAATAGAGACGAAGGCTTCTATGAGAGAGGCATAATGAAGTTACCTTCAAAATGGCAACAAGTTATCGAACAAAACGGCGCATATTTGACCTAAATCGGATCATTCTAACTATGGTAATTAAAGCCTTCAATTTCATGCAAAAATAATGGATTTCTTTTTACTATACCTGATATTGTAGATAATAACACTTAATTTCAAAGAAAATATACGAAAAATTATGTTGATTTCTTTATTTACGTTGGCCAGAAGTATTCAACCAGCGCTTTATGGAATCTTCAGTATGCTTCAACGATTGATTTTTGAAAACGGCTCATTATGGCACCTAAAAAAAGACGAAATTAAGTTATTTTTTCGGAAGCGCCCCAGATGCGCACAGAATAAAACGGACACAGCAGGTTGAATGAAACAGACACAGTGACAAACGGATACAGTAAGAAAAGGACACAGTAAGAAACGGACACAGTAGGAAACGGACACATGATGGTTGCAATCGGACACAGTAGGAAACGGACACACGGTGGTTGCAATCGGACACCGTGAGAAACGGACACAGTAAGAAACGGACACAGTGAGAATCGGACACAGTAAAAAATGGACACAGTATCAAACGGACACAGTAGGAAACGGACATACCGTGGTTGCAATCGGACACAGTAAGAAACGGACACAGTAGGAAACAGACACACGGTGGTTGCAATCGGACACAGTGAGAAACGGACACAGTAAGAAACGGACACAGTGACAATCGGACACAGTAACAAACGGACACAGTAGGAAACGGACACACGGTGATTGCAATCGGACACAGTGAGAAACGGACACTATGAGAAACGGACACAGTAAGAAATGGACACAGTGAGAAACGGACACAGTGAAAAACGGATACAGTAAGAAACGGACACAGTGAGAATCGGACACAGAAAAATGGACACAACATGAAACGGACACAGCATGAAACGGACACACTGTGGTTGCAATCGGAGACAGTAAGAAACGGACACAATGACAATCGGACACAGTAACAAACGGACACAATAGAAAACGGACACAGACGGAAACAAAAGTTGTTAAAATTAATTGCTATAAAAAGAAGATATAATAAAAAATTGGACTTTCTATTTTGAAAAATTAAGTTGACCTTCAACTGACCTTGAAAATGCCCTCCAAATAAAAAACTGATAATGCCATTCTCTTTCCCCTTCGAAATCATAGAAAACGTATTTTAGTTTTTTCAATATCTTTCATAGTTTTCAAAATTTTTTATCTGTTACGTTTGAAATTTAGCATCCTGTATAAGATGAATATTAGGTCCCGTCAAAAAAGAATTATTCTCTAATATTAGTTGAATACACAAGCACACACACATGTATATATATATATATAAATATATATATATATAACGTTATATTAAAATATTTTTCAAGGTTACCCATTGAACAATTTTTGCGAATATTTATCGGAATATCTAAAAACATTCTACATCAAGAACACGTACATATGCAAGGTTAGTATTAACAATAATTTTTATATTTTACTAACAATTATTTTTTAAAGAGATAACTATCTTTATCATGCTCTAGAGAAGGAAAATGTATTAGACATATCTTTGCAAAATGAAAATGACAAAAATTATGAAGAGGAATTATTTGTCGGACTACCTGAAACTGTTTGTTATGAACAACATATAAATATGCAAAGTTAGTATTAACTGTATTATGTATGTCTGACTTACATTCTTATTAACTTGACTTATCACGCTTCAGGAAACGAAAATATTCCAAATATATCTTTGATAGACAATACTGGAAAAATTGTGAAGAAAAAAATACAAGTTACTACAGATCCCAAGATATCCCAATAAATCTATTAGAACCTAGGATTACCATAATGAAGCTCACACATCAAGACTGCGAAAAATATTTTAAGAATAGTCAGCAATCATTAGCGTTTATTGAAAATACTATTCCATCAAAAGTAAGTATAACATTGAAACGTTACTCATTTCGACAGATATAATATTTACACATTGAAACATTTACATAATGTTCCAGATTACACGAAACGGAAAGACGTCAACCTTGCAGTCGTTGCAGATAAAAATAACCATATATATTTTAAGATATACGTTATATTTTAGTATGCGTGCTTCCTACTGTTCTTTTGTTGGCTTGTTATGTAATTATTATGTAATTATGTAACACACATTGTTTCGGAAATGTTTATAATACATATTATTAAAGAAAATAACTTTGAATATTAGTATATAAGTAATTTTTATATAATTCACCTTAAAGTATTGTGAGAAATTAGCAGTAAATACTTTCAACCTAATCTTGCATACAGCCTTAGTCTACAACACATTTCAGTACGTAATGCTTAACATATATAATACTGTTATATTGGCAACAAATCGACTGTCTTAGAATATGTGTGCGATAAATGTCATAAAAAATATGTATTAAAAAAGATGCTGACAATTCTAAATATTTTTATACACTTCAAATAAAAGTAAGACATGCTTATGGCATATATATTTTGTACACCGATGAAATTTGTGCTTTGCAAATTGAACAAGTTTTATCATCATCACTACCTTGCATGATTTAACTAGAATAATCTGCACAAGTGCAGAAGTGACCGCACAGTATGAAAAGATGAGTTGATTCAGTAATAATACACATAAATAATGCACGTACGATCAGATTTTACTTTTTCTTCACTTTTTTCGCACCCCGTTTCCTATTGTGTCCGTTTCCTACTGTGTCCGTTTTTATTGTGTCCGTTTGTTACTGTGTCCGATTGTCATTGTGTCCGTTTCTTCCTATGTCCGTTTCTTACTGTCTCCGATTGCAACCACAGTGTGTCCGTTTCCTGCTGTGTCCGTTTCATGTTGTATCCATTTTTCTGTGTCCGATCTCACTGTGTCCGTTTCTCACTGTGTCCGATTGCAACCACCGTGTATCCGTTTCTTACTGTGTCCGTTTCTTAGTGTGTCCGTTTCTCACTGTGTCCGATTGCAACCACAATGTGTCCGTTTCATGCTGTGTCCGTTTCATGTTGTGTCCATTTTTCTGTGTCCGATTCTCACTGTGTCCGTTTCTTACTGTGTCCGTTTCCTACTGTGTCCGTTTGATACTGTGTCCGAATGTCACTGTGTCCGTTTCTCACGGTGTCCGATTGCAACCACCGTATGTCCGTTTCCTACTGTGTCCGATTGTCACTGTGTCCGATTGCAACCATCATGTGTCCGTTTCCTACTCTGTCCGTTTGTTACTGTGTCCGGTTATCACTATGTCCGTTTCTTACTGTGTCCTTTTCTTACTGTGTCTGTTTGTCATTGTGTCTGTTTCATTCAACCTGCTGTGTCCGTTTTATTCTGTGCGCATCTGGGACTCACTCAATTTTTCACTTCTAGTTAGTCACCTTGCACGATAACCTTAATGTGACTTAAAATAAGCAGACCGAGTTTTACATAATGCTTTCCGTTATAACTTAATAACCAGATATCGCATGAAATGAATGAAACATTAACTGTATTAACCAAAGTGGAAATTAAAGATAAAAACTGTACTTTTTAGTAAACATACTAATAGTAAAATTTATTTTTTGCGAAGTTGCGTTCACCTAAATACTATAAAAATTTTTCTTTATAGAAAAAGAAACGCAGGATAATTAATCACCATAATCATATTGAATTGTGACATTAAAAGTGAGAAATTCCATGAGTTTTCGTAACAATTAACAATTTCTTGGATTTACTGAAATAATTAGATTTGTACTACTTATATACCATAATTTAATGTTAATAAAAATATGGCGAAGATGGTTTTTTATGCTTTTCTTAATTTTGTTTTTCTATATGTAATTATAATGCAATACATGGTTTAATTCTTCATAAGAGAGAGAGAGAGAGAGAGAGAGGAGAGAGAGAGAGAGAGAGAGAGAGAGAGAGAGAGAGAGAGAGAGAGAGAGAGAGAGAGAGAGAGAGAGAGAGAGAAAGAGAGAGAGAAAGAGGGAGAAAGAGAGAGAAAGAGAGAGAGAGAGAGAGAGAAAGGGGCGAATTTTGAGAATAAAAAACATAAGCACACTATAAAGACATTTACAAAACAAAGCCTCCTTAATCTGTGTTGCATAGAAAGAGATTTTCACTCCTCCAGTTCCTTTCCAGCTAATTAGTCTTGCAAGATCATTGTGCAATATGATGGACATAAGAGAAGTAGCAGCACTCCATTCATCAGGACCATCAACAATATGTGCATGTAGATAGCTGACCTTCAAAACGCAAAAATGTTAATTATAACTATTTCAAATGAAGCAGATTTGAATCGTTCTATGAATAATTCTTAAATTCTGTAACCTGTTATTGTAGTTAATGACAGTTTCCTTATTGTTGCGCAACTTTTCCCTACCATAAAAAAGTTGCGCAATAACGAAACTATCGTTAACTGCAATTACGAGATCGATATTCATATAGTCGGGTTTTACATACACAGTCTGTCCCAGATCCAATGAGACTGGTCTAAAAAAATACAAAGCGTTGATTATTTTGATTTTTTATTCTTGTTTATTCAAAATAGTCTTCTCCTGAGTCAATACAGCGCTGGAAACGCTCAACAAATTTTTCGAAACATTTTTTACACTCATCGGCTGGAATCGCCTTTATAACGGTCTAACGGTATAACGGTCGAAGTCTTTTGGATGACCGGGATGGTATCGAAACGATTTCCTTTCATCGCCAATTTCAGTTTGGGAAATAGCCAGAAGTCGCACGGAGCCAAATCAGGTGAATACGGCGGATGATCGATAACAATAATGCCTTTTTTTGATCAAGAATTCACATACCATGATGGCTTTGTGCGATGGTGCATTATCGTGCAACAAAAACCAACTGCCTGGCTCTCGATATTCCGGTCGAACTCGTCGAATTCTGGCCCACAATCGTTGTAGAACTCCCAGATAATATCTGGGCAGACACACAGCGGTCGTTTCGAAGAATTTCTTTGACTTTCTCGATGTTTTCTTCATTGCAAGTGGTTATTGGCGGCGGTGCTCGGTCATTGTCTGCAAGGTCCTCACGACCGTCACGGAATCGGCCAAACCAACGGAAAACCTGTGCACGGGACATGCATTCATCCCCGTACACATTTTTTAGCGTTTCGTACGTTTCTGCACCACTTTTACCCAATTTAAAAGTTGGTTTTTCGACCGACGTACACAAAGTGACTTTACATAAAATATCAAACCACAGTGAAATATCAACCGAATTCGCTCAAATTTTGAGGTTAAGTAGATGAAGGGTAGAACATTAACCTACCATCATTCACTCATAGATATCGCTGCGCTAAGAACTTTGATGGAACCAGTCTCATCGTATCTGGGACAGACTGTGTATATTTAAGATTGCCTTAAGATTAGTTTTAAAATTCCATTCAACCAATAAAATAGCAAGAGAAACATTTTAAGACTGATCTTGAGACGATCTTATTTCAACGCAGCGGATGACGTTTTCCAACAATCCAAAGAGATTAGCTGTACTTACAAACTGAGAGTACGCAATTTTATTCTTCAAAAGTTCGTTGAACTCTGAAATTCTTCAAATGACTTCTCATCTCGTAGTGGAAGAGGAGGACAATTTTCGGGTTCTTCTACAATAGCTTCACCAGGAAATATTTCATTTAAGATGCAACGTTCGATCATCAGCAATATATCCAGTTTACTTGATATATCTCGAAGCAAATCTCTATCAAGATTAGATACGACCGGTCCTACGGACATATTAATTAATGATTAGAAAGTTAGTATGCATGAAACATACAAGGATTGTTCAAAAAGTAATGTCCCACATTTTTTTCTCAGAATGTATTTATTCAAAATGGTTGAAAATATTAATAAATGTTTTTTTCACATACTATTTTTGACATAGTCTTCATCAAATTGTATAGTCTTACGCCAATGTTACGAAGAAAAACCGGTACCGAAAAGGAATTGAACATTTCTTCAACGCTGGCATAAGGCCATACAAGTTGATGGAGATTATTTCGAAAATAGTGTGTGTAAAAGAAATATTTATTTATATATTTTCATCAAATTTCAATCATTTTGAATAAATATGTTCTGAAAAAAATGTTAGGTATTACTTTTTAAACAACTCTTATATATATTGCAGTTATATAAATTAGAATAAAGGAAATTATTACCATGAAGCTTCTTAAAATGGTTTAATGTTGTTGTCAGTAAATCGCATTCTGTATTTGATAAACCTAATAAACGTATAACATATTAGAAAAAATAATATTTATGAAAACTACTCCTGAAACGTGAGATTGTTGAGAAAATTAAATTACCTTGGGATGTGGTGAATTTGGAGATGCTTGATTTTCTCATTATCTACTGACATTAAAGTCTTTTTTTTTTTTTGTAAAACATCATCTTCATTTTCATCTTGTAGAGTTTCGCAGTTCATTGTATCAGATAAATTTTTTTATGTTCATTGTTCCTATCATCTGAATTAACATTAGAATTGTTATTTTATTTCCAATATTGATTGCATAAAATATAATAAAAATATGAACATATTCACATTTATATAATTATAATTTTATTTAAAGAGAGGAACTATGCAGCTGAGAGAGAGAGAGAGAGAGAGAGAAAGAGAGAGAGACAGAGAGTGAGTGTCTTTTCCCGCGTGCGCGTGTCAAAGAGAGAAAGGCATAACATCTGCCATATATTTTTTTTTTTAATGCAAGATAATGTACTGAAGAAAGTATAACAGAAAAAAATGTGAAATTATTTACATTCATCAAGAGAGAGATGACTTTGCTTTGTTATTTGGGGAAGCATTTAGTTTCCTCCTAAAGAGATTCTGCTCCATATGTACAGGCAGTGTGCTCATGGACATTGTAGAACTATTTGATCTTGATGTAGTAGGTTGTTCATCATCATCTGTACTCAATTGAGGAGACAAGTACTTTGGAGAAGCTATAACCGTCCACAAAATAAATTATACAAAAGCTTGCAGGAATAAAATCATCTATAATTAATATAAAAATATCGTTATTACTTGAAAATGACAACTTACTATTAGGAAAATTAAGATAGTTCTCTTTATCTAAATGTTGAGAGATGCTATGCAATTTTCTAAGAGTTTTGTCTTGTTTGACTGCAGTGGTTCTACGATCACTTTGTCCGATACTTCTGTATTACAACCCAGTAAGCAAAATGCTAGCAGAATGCGCGCAGATTGACGCCAATTTCGATCAGATCTCCATATCAAAACCATAGCCATCTGTGTCCTCATTAGGCTCGTGTTTTGTCGACAGGACCTGTGTGACAGGCCGTGCGAGCAGATTGTCAGCAGAAACCGCGCAGGTCCTGCTGCCAAACTACGCGTAGAGTCTGCGCGCAGAGTTTGCTCGGTTTCTGCCGCCAATCTGCCATCAAATTACTGCAAGTCTTGCGCGGCTTTTGGTACAAATCTGCCGTCAAATATCCGACAGCAGGATCTTGGCGCATATTTGACCGCAGATTGGCAGCATAATTTGATATGACAGATTCTGCGTTAAATCTGTTGCCTATTTGCCATCAAACTATGATAGCAGGCTTTGTTCGAAATCTGCTCGTGCAGGTTTGGCTATCTGGAAATCTTTAGGAGAACAATATTTTTGTTGTACAGCTAAAATTATAAAAAGACTATAAAATTGTACAATTACGAAAAGATGAAAACAGATTGTTATTAGAATTTAACTCTAAAGCACAAAATAATTATTATTTATGAATGATACATGTACATACTCTCATTTAGTAAAGAATGCTGCTTTATCGGATTTTCCTCTAATGTAATGTTATGGTAAG